AACTAATAAATTAGATAATACTAAAAAAGTAATTGCATCAAGCTCATAATATTATAAATAAGATAATAATTCAGTTTAGAATCATCTGTAAAAATATTATTTTTAGTTTTATATTCTAAGCAAATAGAAAGAAGTACACCTATCGGTTATTATTAATAAAGTTTAAATGAAAACTTTCTTGCGAAGACCTCTTATAAAGTTGAACAAGCAATATTAAAGATCCGTTTCGAAATAACATAAATATTGGATCCTGAGTCCAAATAAAGCGTATAAGTGACCTGAATGATAAAAATTAAAAATATTAAAAGAGTTTGAACAGATATGAATGTTTATAATATGATAGAATTATACAATAGACAAAATAAGAATTTTCAAACAATATTAATTGAGATACTTATCATTGTACTCCCGTAACATAAAATTGTAAGTACAAGTATTTTGGCAATCACATATCACTTGTAGACACTTGTTAACTTATTACCTATCTTACTATAAAATAATAGTTGTATACAATGTATGTTATATGATGTATGTATACAAATTATACAAAAAGTCATTGACTAACAAACCATGTCGTGCATAGGTAAGGTCACATCGTTTTATCGTATAAAATATACCTTGTTATTTTGAGATACTATAGTAATACATATACACTAAAATACTAAATTACTTTAATAATAATATCTTTGACCTAATTGAGTGGAACAGCAGTCGTTTTGGGTGAATTTTTTATTTTATTTTTAAATATTATGTCCATTGACACCATAATATTATTTAGTTACATTCTTATAGTATCGCTATTTTATGCATTTATCGTACACAATCCTCCACCGCCACCATGTCGTAAATCACGCACTACGCATAAGCAATAAACGAACGAAACTCTAATGGATGTAAATTAATTATATAATAAACTCGCATTATTATTATGATTGGTGGTCAAGTGTACAATGATAACTGCCACGTGGCGATGATTATCAAAGTATTTCCTGGCAACTAATGCGAATCGGTTGTTACCCGGTTTTTGTCAAAACGCGTCGTTATTATTACCATTATTGTGGCTTGCATAAATTAATGTTTACCTCTTCCTGCGTACTCATTAGGACGTTTCGTGTTTAAAATCATTCCAAATAAATTACATAATATAATATACAATATCAACGGAAAATATATATCTCGAAGTTGTTTTGGGTGGTACGAAAAAACTTACAATTTTCGTTTACACTATCACATAATTATTTTTTGTTTGTTTGTAGTGCACCAGCTGTTTTTAGTAATTATTTTAGTAGACAATGTAAATAGTAGTGATGCACAACGATATATTTTCCGTTATCGATATCGGTTCATTGATATCGATATCGAAAAACAAACGATATCGATATCGACAAACGATATATCGTTATAATTTATTTTTATATATATTAGGTTTTTTACAGGTACATTATTTATTTTTCGTCTACTGTGGGTACCTTGGAGTGTTGTATAATCGCTTCCTGAAAATATGCATACATTTAAAATTATTATCTATTTGAAAGCCAAAATGTTTCCATATGTCACTACGACTTCCAGGTAATGATACTATCTTAATAGAACTTATAATTTTTATTTAATTATTTAACTTATTAATTATAACTATTGACAAATAAATTATTATTAATTATTTAACTCAACGTAGACAACGGAAACGACGGAACAAGACTAATTGTAAAAATCCAACAGTCACAGCTATATACGTCTATTGTAAGAGCTTTATCGTATTGCTTATCGTTGGTGTTTAATCATTCTTAGACATTGATTTACAGTCAAAACTTATATAAATAGAAAATAGAAATTTCAAATTGCAACGAATTGATATCAATTTTCGATATCGATAAAATGTTGGATATTTACCTGCGATGTC